ATAAATAGTATAAATGAACCACATAAATATATAGAAATTAAAAATTAAGAAAATATATATTTTACATGCAAAATATAATTATAAAATACAAAAATAAAGATATATCTATGAATGATTACCTATGTAGAAAACGTGGCTCATTATTTTGGGGATTTTGACAAAAAAATGTAATATATGGAAATAATTTGATTTGATTGATGACTATATTTTACTATTAGGTATACACTACATACCATAGTCCTGCTAATTCTTAATAATAACCAAAAGTTATATTAATTTATAGACACCTCTTCGAAATCTACACTTAGAATTTTCAAAAATAAATATGTTGGTATACTATAATAAGACATACCTACATACGCGTTCTACGTTTATGATGCATATTATATTATATAATGTGATATTCTATAGTAAATTGCGTTATATCTTATACCTATTATTAATTTATTATTTTCTATTTCTCGCGAACTATCTAAAAAATATATCTCACCTCATAGAAGCTGTGTAGGTAATTAATACGAGTATCATTATAATATATGCAGTTTTTTGCCACTGCGCAAGATTCACGGATTCCCGATTGCGCGTGTGAAAAAATCTATGGAAATTGATCAATTCACCGCAAGCGAACWAACACTTGATACGTTTATCCGGGTATCTTCGCAGAACCTTAATTTGTTTGAAATATGCGGTTGCGATGATATTCATATTAAATTCTACATAAAGTTCATTCCTTGCAATATTTGTGTACCTAGCTTATAATAAYATTATGCAATCAATATTAAATATTGGTTTGATAAAAAATGTTAGGTATTAATAAATAATATATAAGTCTTATTATTAAGATATTTTTTAAAAGTAACTAATTTTAGTTAATATTTAGTTATAATTTTATACAATGTAATGAAAATTTTAAAATTTAAAATTTATAAATCATAATAATTATATAGGTTATGTCTGAGATTTATATACATATTTTCAAAATTCAAAAATTCAAAACCTGTTWTTGAAATRACTTGGGGCTTCGGATTTTGAAATTCCTGTTTTTTAATCTTTCTTATATTTAAACATTTAATGTAGATCATATTATATACTTACTAATGATTACATAAATAAATGTGTTAATAAATGTTTATCTATCAGTAACTTATATATATATATATTTTATGTCAAGTATGTAAAATATGTGTAATTGTCAAACATATTTATAAAGACCTTTGGGTCGTTTAAATAATAAAGCCCCAGGGCATTAAAAAAAAAAAAATCTATCAGTAACGCAAATTATTACCATGTTACTGAATTGTAAACTAAAACTATGGTTTGGAAGAGAAGTGAATAACAAAAAAAAAAAATCGTTTTTCAATAATACGTGTGCAGTACACATACGATGATTATTGTCGCGCGTGAATTTGTATACGTATAAATACAAAACACAAAGTACAATCATTTGTATTACATAACATTGTTACACAGAACGCGTCACGGGTATGATAATATTATGAGATTTATTGTCAAATTTCCCAGCGATATTAGACCACAGGAATAACGATGTTATTGAAAACTAGGATACGTGAACAATATTTTGTACCTAACATTATATTTAGTAATCTATATYTATTGATTGTATATTTATTGGCAAAGGGAAGAGGATGAGGGTATCACTGGAGCAAATAATACGTACTGTAATATGATATTATTTAAACATTGAAAGGTACTAAATAATAATAAAAAAAAGCGTTAAAAAAGTTTAAAAGGAAATCCATTGAGAATATAATATAATATGAAATTACTTCTTGYAATAGAATAATAATGTTGTGTTAGGTACTGTGTTAGTTGAATGTAGAGCAAATAAATTTTATTGGTTTTACAACAACGCGTGCTTAAGAAACTAAAAAAATGACTAACTTTCTATGGATTTGAAAATTGAACATGAAACTTGCTTTTATAATATTTTTTCGACTACTAAAATATTATGATATGCTATAACAATATAAATCAGCAATTTTGCGTAAACATGCATTTAAAAATATTAAACTATAACTAGAGCTACATAAAGAATCATTTTCAAATATAGACATAAAATATATCCATATAAGTATAGTATATACCGTTTGGTAGGTATGCGTTTACATGTCAAGTACCAGCTAAATTCTCCATGATCTAGTTACATTCTAGTGTATCGTTTTTGGAAGGCGCCCAAATCTAAGTGGTCYTTTTGACGTGCAATAAGTAATTTTTACTGTACATTATATTATCAGAAAATGCGTAATTTAAGGAATTAGCATTAATGACATATAGTTATGACATATATTTTTGATAAAATTCGACAGTATTTTTTGACTAGGAAATAAAATGTTAATGTTCATTATTTTCAGGCAATAGTCAATTTAGAAATGGTAATGACAATAATTCCGTGCATTTTAGACAAAATTTATATAAAACTAGCTGAACCCGTACACTTCGTAGCTGGTTAAAAATCTTACCTCTTATATAGTTTAAACTGTATATTAAATTCGTTACTTATGATTATGCTTGCAGTATTTTTTTATACATATTATAGATATATAATAGTTAAAACATGCTAAGTAATAATCTTACACTGATAATAAATTTAGTTTATTATTATGTAATTTATTCGTTTTATTGAGAAATGTCTAATAATTCTAGCCGTTTAGGAAGAGTTCAGTGACATTCACACGTACAGTAGAATTATATATATAAAGCTAATGTTTAWTCAACTATTTGTATGATGAATTAGAAGTGGCCTTTCGTTGTAAAATTGATTTCTTGATTGATCTATAAACTGTAAAAACAAAAACGTACATTTTTCAACTCTATTAAGTCAATGGTTTTACATTAGTTACCTATTGTAAAATATGTATTATATTGAATATATTTTCCATACATAATAGTAGATAAACAATATAAATTGCAATAGATTATTTATTATAATGATGARCTAAATAATTATCTTGTATTATTAAATTTTTTACCTGATTTAAATATGTTGCTATAAAAATTTATAAWTACTCTCTATTGACATCAGACATTAAGGTAGTTTACTATTCATATAGTAGTAATAAAATGTGTTAAAAATTATTTAGTTTCTAAAACATCGCTAAGTTGTCAGSTAGTGCCTAGCCATTTACGTTATTACTTTATTTAAATTATTGGTGGTAACATAATATATAATAATACTATATAATAACACTCTTATCCCTATCGGTCCGAAATCTTGACCCGATCCCAAGTCAGAGATCATTCTATTATAATTTTCACTTACGTTATATTATTTTATGATTACAGTTGGACGCTAAAAACAGTCCACTGGCGCTGTTAGCACAAACATGCAGTCAGATCGGATCTGATGCACCGGCGCCTCAGAACGGCAAGACAACCTCAGACAAGAACGGCAASCATCATAAGAAGACGTCGTCGTCACTTTCTTCGTCATCTTCGTCATCCTCCGATCATGGAGGCGGTGTCRRTGGTGGTAGAGATAAGCGTTCGCCGTCGTTATCATCATCGTCGTCGTCGTCGTGTTCGAATAGTGGTTCACCGCCTGGCCGGACATCGGTTGTCCACCATCACCTGCAGCCAGCCCCAATTACCTCCGTCACCACCACGGCCCGGTCCAGTTTTAAACCGTACGAATCGTGCGTGTTGCGACCGGCCGCTGAAGTGGCTGCGGCTGCGGCCGCAACAGCTGCTGCCACTGCCAATTCCACGTCAATCARCCTGGACGCGACCATAAGAAGAACGACACCCGTGGCCACAAATGGAGGCGGTGACCGGTGCAGCAGCAAAGAAAGTGCTTCGAGTCGCAAGTCGACAGCGGAAGATGCGGCGACCGCAAGCAGAAAACACAGCGAACAATCGCATAACAAACTCTCGTCGTCTTCGGCTACTTCGGTGGCCGCTCTAATGGCAGCCGCTGGTTATCCGTCACCGCATCACCACCCACAGTTGTCGGCGCATCCTCACCACCATCACCACATGGCAGCATTAGGGGGCTCGCCCCTGATGAGCYCCTACTTCAGGCCTGGTGCCGGGGCACCACCGCTACCGTGTCGTGACCCGTACTGCGCTGGATGTCAGCTGGCCGCTCACTTGGCCGCCGGCAAACAACAGCCGACGGCCACGTGCCCTTCCGGTTGCACGCAATGCGATGCTAGTCCGAAGACGGTGTCAGTAGCGGCCGCTGCCGCTGCCGCCGCTCACCACCAACACCAACAGCAGCAGCACCAACAGCAGCAGCAACACCACCATCACCACACGATGGCCGCGGCGTACGCGCACGCCCAACTAGCCGCACTAGCCGCGGCCGCCAGCCAATTGCCGTACGTGTGTTCGTGGATGGGCGCTGACCTGCCGTCGTATTGCGGCAAGCGGTTCGGCACGTCCGATGAGCTGCTCCAACATCTGCGCACGCACACCTCTGACCCGGCGGCTGCGCTGCCGCTGTTGCAACGCTCGTATCCAACGCCCCCGCTCAGTCCGTCTGCCACAGTCAGTCGGTATCACCCGTACGCGAACGGAAAACACCACTCGCCGTACGGTTTTCCATCCGGTTACCCGTCATCGCCACTGGCCATGCAGCCGCACCCAGGCCTGCTGCCGCCATACTTCCCCGCGGTCGCCTATTCGCCATATGCTGCGGCCGCGGCCGCTGCCGCAGCTCCGCGACTAGGCACGTCGCCGCACACATAACTCTGCTGCCGACAATTTTAAAGAATTGTTTATATTATTATTATTATTATCATCATGATCGCCGTACCGCCGTTATAGTCACGAWTGTTGTTAGCCGATTAGCGAAATTTGTTTTTATTTTATTTACGTTTACTTAGCATCATAATACATAATATTATTATTGTTTCAACAACAAAAACTGAATATATACCTACACCAACTATTATTAAATCGCAGTCGCTGGTCCACGTTAATTTTTATTTAATTTGAATAACTAAACAATTTATTAAAATTTGATGATTGGCCCGCATTTTTTCTTAATTGGTAATAGTATTATATTAAGTTATTACGTATATATGTACCTATATATTTTTTATTTTGTTACTGACTACGTTACCTTGTTTTTTTTGTTATTCGGTTTTATTATTTCATATTATTATTATTAATGTCAGAATTAAAAATATATTTATATTCGAAACGTATGTAATATTATAATATAAAATATGTAGTAATGACATAAATTATATAATATTATGAATTTATTGTAAAATACTTAAATATATGTAAATGTGTATTATATATACATTCATATATATATTTATATTATATAAATCACCCGATTTCATATTATATATTGTTGAATATAATAATATAATATATACCTAATATTTGTGTTATTGTTTTTCGTTTGGTCTTGACAGGCATTTAACAATAACCATATCGAAAATTAAAAATTTCAATGCTATAAGATATTTCGGTGATATTACTTATCCTAGATCTGTGTTCTATGTGTAAATATATTGACGTTAACCTGTTATAGCACCAAAATATATAGTGCTCATTAGTGCTACTTAATGGTATTGTTTTTAAAAGTAGCGATGTTAACGTCGGGAAAAGTAATTTCCTTTTGCAATATTGGTCTTATAGTCTATATTGTATTATATAAACTATAAATAGACTGTGGTCTATGACTATACTGATAGACTGATAGACTATACTAATAGACTGTGGGATGCTATAATGTAAATTTTTATTCTTCAGTGTACAACAGATACAATATAACGCAGACGGGACATTCGCAATCGAAATAAAAATATACGACCACTACGACGACCAGTACCTCTTACTGTCAACTTAAATTATAAGAACACGACTCCAGGTACCTATGGCGATTACGATAAAAAAAAAAAACCATACAAATCAACAACGATTATAACGTCGCACACGTACGTGTAAGTTGTACAGCTATAGTGTTGACTGCTGTTTTTAAGTGCGTAAAAATCAAAAATGTATTAAAGGAGATACATATCAATTCAAAATAAATACATTTATTTTAATAGCTACTAATTACACTCATTTTAAAATAAAAAAGTGAAAAAAACTGTTTTAGCTTATAATATTCTCCTCTACAAATTCGATAATAAATAAATTTGCTCTAATATTAATTATAAATAAATATTTTGGTAAAAATACGATACGCAGTTACAATCTATAAAAATTAAATTTTTAATAAATACGTTGTTTAATAGTTAAACCAACTTATAGGATACTTAGGTATTTCAAATTTAAAATAGCGATGTAACAGGATACCAACATTATATGAGGTATACTCATTCCTTGTTCCAATCCGTTCATTTCAACTTTAAATAATCGTAAATTTTAAGTTACTTAAACTCCAAAATTMAATTGTGAAGAAAAATTATTACGATAAGATATTAATTTATGACGCAATACAATTTTATGTTTTAATTACTTCAAATTATTTAAAATAAAAAATATTTTCAACAACGATGCCTACCAATAAAATAAAATTGTAAATAGTCTTGCGTCATTTTATAGCATAACGGATCATGGGATTTATAGTATATACTATATAGTATGTACTATAAAGTATAAACCACCATTTTAAAGAGTATATTGGTCGTCGTGTGTCGTCACCGCCATCTTTCACGTTTGCGTTATTTACACATACTATTATACCGTACGTTATATTCKAGTYAAATTTTCGAGCAAGGCGTACGTTTTCCTATGCATAATTTTATATTTTATTTTATTTTTTATGATTTATAGTTAATATTACACAAATATATTGTACTTATATAAAAATGAAGGTATGTCGTGTATCATCGGCGTAAGCTAGCTGATGGCCGCTGACGCCTATAATAATGTAACAATAAATGCTTGTAGAAGACATCAACCGCGGTAGTGGTAACGGAATATACCACGAATACAACGTATATGGTATACGTATATAGTATATTATACCTGCAGATGCATTCAGCCAGCCCCGTCGCTTCCAACGGTYTATTTCGGGCCAGACCGGTAATAATATGTATGCAGTTAACTGCTAGTGAGTATAACGTTTTTAATATTCACAGACTGTTCGCCGAGCGCTACGTGTCCATCACCAGAGCTATCGTGAGTTAGCCATTGCCTATTGCGGTCACACGTGTCGTCATCGTATCCTTTTCGGACGCGTAAATAACACGTAACGGTGGCGGTGAAGAGACTTCTATCGCTGCAGATCTTGATAACGGACGTCAGTAGTCGTACATAATATAACTAGTCATGTGAAATCTAATTTATAGACTTAGGTACTATTAAATTTATACACGTATACTGGGTGATATATTTGAGGTAAACCGCTTATTATTTCAAAAAATATTACATTTTTTGAAAATATTTGTTTTATGTTATTATAATACGTTAATTGTATTATTGTTTAAAGTTGTTCTTAACGATCTCYTGATATTTATTTGGCTTTACAATACATTTTTAAGAATTTTGGCTGACATCGTTCTCCTGCAATCATTTCGGTTTGTATTCATTTTCTCAATCTGTCACTTCCAGGGTTTCTTAATTTTTTCTTATTCTATGCAACCATCGTTTTCTAAATCTTACTCTGTGTCAAATTCTCCGTCGCTTGTCATTTGATTGCTACCCTTAACCCTTGTACTAGTACTTTCTGMTTTTAGAATTTAATGGCCAAACCACTGGAGTCTTTGGTATTTAATATAACGTTGTAACAAAGGAACTTAAATGGTTTATATTTATTTCAATATTTATGAATATTTTTCCTTGTCAGCAGCTATATGTTCAACTCGATATCAAAATATCAAACACTGGATCACAAATCTTCCTCGTTATCTACAGTTTTAAAATATTTTTATGACAATACACATTTTTCATATCTCATTTCATAATCATTCAAAAAAACAAAAATCTAAATTAAATTTAGCAATGTAAAAAATTGATTTGCAATGTATTAAAATTTCAAATCCGAGGCGACCCTGTATGTGTTATAAATAAATAGATAGTGTAATGTAGTGTGCAGTTTATACTTTGTGCTCAACTACTTATGGTGCTGGTATTAAGGATGGAAATGGAAGTTGTGGTGGAAGTAGTTAGTTTTCTCCTGTATATTATTTATATATCATACCCTGCGTGTTTATACGAAAAGTTCAACGCCGTCTAAAGCGATGGACGTTGCGCTTATTATACTCGTAAATAGTGTGACAAACGATCTCTTGTAGACTAAATGCGTGTAGCTCCCAACCTCTCACAACAGCCACTGAAGTTTTTTGACTGCGTTTGTATATCTAATTATCGTAAACTTATTATTGTGAGTGAAGATGGATGTGTTAAAAAAGTATTTTTAACCATTCCACTGCAGTCACGACGAGTACCTGTGGGTATAGTTAATTGCAATCATTGGATGGTGTTACTGCCACTGTTCCTGTTAAACGTTAGCAGTTATCATGATTATGTTGACCGATCATTAATTCCAGATAATAATATTAAGTTATATCCTTCTACACGTCCAAGCTACATGGTTTGAAGGTTGTAGGCACAGCGGCATGGAATAATACGGTGTTACCGTCAATGACAGTAATATTCAAATATATTTATTTGAATTATTAGTCTTACTTTCATCATACTTAAGAACATTCATAAAAAAATTATGGTATGTACTACAACGGTGATGTACCATAATTCTTGTCGCCTTTAACTCGATTATCGTCGCACATAATATTATATTATATTATACCACATAAATCACCATGATACTGTAATATTTTTCGTTCTCGCCAACCTCAAACTCGATAAGGTCGAGTGGCCAGCATGAACTTGKGTCCGAGATTGTGCTTAACGACCGTCTTCAGTGATTCTACGCAAAGCTCCGACCGACATGGTCCCATGGTGTAATATTATATAATCGTCTCTCGTAAAACACAGAAAGCGCCATAAAATTKTTGGMAAGCTTATACCAGAGGATTTTCCATTTTTTGTCGTCGTGTTTTATTTATTTATATTTTTTATAATGCACGGTCCGACGGATGTATTATTTTACACGAGTACAAACACCACAAACATTATAGGTACACACATACAATGTTGTTGCTTTATTATATGTATACTTACTATATATTATAAACTGATGTGTATGTAGTACACTCGCGTTCGAAGATTTATTGTGTGATGATATTATGATAATATTCCACGTCAGTCGCATACGATACACAATGTATCAACAATGATTATTGTTTTTCGTATATTCCATTATATACATAGGTATAACGCGTCACCAGCTAGAAGACAGTACTACAGTAGAGAGAGCTCGATAGTAGGAATCTATAATAATATAATTAGCATTTAAATTATTAGTATAGGTACTTTTTCGTCATTTAAATAATATCTAATCATTAATACTATTATTATTTAAATTCCGTGACAATATACAACTATAATATTCAGTTAGGTAGGTAAAGTGCTTGCTTCAAAACGACTTTTTTCTATTTACGTATCACCGTAAGTATAATGTATTGATTTACAWTTTTACAATCCTATCTCATAATAATAATTTTATATTATTACAATATATGGAGCACTTAGCGTTAACCTTTCGAACAGAGATTTTGATTTTTGATAAGATAATGATGTCTTATCTCAATTTGGACTATTCCCACTCAAAGTGTATTCGGATGAGGCTAGGTACCTATATGTTMAGTTCAGCGGCGGCTATCGTTGCGATAGCACGCGTAGTTGTATTGTACTGATTCAACTGCGGCCATCTCTGGTAGCAACATTGTGTTAGTGTTTTTTTTTCTGCATCAAAGGTGTGGTAATTGTGCGTGCTTGGATCGGTGTCGATTTTGAGTCGGTCCACTCTAAATTATCCCCATAAGGGCAGTTAAAAGTTTGCTTTCTAAGTTCGTCGTTACRCACACTGTTTAAGGTAAGAGATATAAATATAACATATCTATCGACTTCGTGAACGACCAAAGGTCGGCCTGCGGATAACGCCGCCGCCGAGACCGTTATCGCTAACACGGGCGGCTCGCGGCAAGTTAGTCACTGCATATACATAGCGGGCGCAATAACTCTACGGACAAGGTGTATA